GGGGGGAGGAGAGGCCCAATGGCAGAACTGCTGAGCCGGGGCCAAGATTGCTTCTGGCATCTGGAATGCATTAACAACGGCCCACAAATCTGAATCTCATCTCCTTGGAAGAGAGTGGAGGAGAGACAGCGAGCGAGTGAGAGAAAAGGGAGCCTGAAATACTAGGGAGGGGAAGAGGGCAGAGAAGATGCCCCCCAGCCCGGGCGTCATTACTGGGAAGGGTGTGCCTCTGCCCCTCGCTCGACCAGTGCAGCCCCCAGCAGCCCCCAGCATGCCCGCGGTGGTGGTGGTGGTGGTGGGTCGGGGGGCGGGGGGGGACAGGGCCCCTCGGCCTGGAGGAAGGAAACGGTGAGCCAGAGCGCTGCAAACAAAGGATGACATGACAGGATCCCCAGAACTCTGCCTGCCAGTCTTTTTCCCTCCTAGGCGGGGACAAAGAGGGAAAGGGTGGAGGCCTGCCACCTTCCTCCTCTGCATGCGATTTTGTCAATTTACAGAATGACATACCCTTGCTTCTGTGGGTGACTCATGGGTAAGGGTAACTGGGTCCAATTCCAGAAAAGATCAGTTTTATGAAACCTGCCCTTGATTTCATCCTTTATGTTTTTTTGGGGGGGGCCTTCGTGATGATGGATTTGACCACTTAGTGCCTTGCACGCTGCAACCGGCAAATGAGGTCTGACACCGCGCTGGGTGGGGAAGGAGGTCGGAGGGCGATGGGGGTGGGGGACGGGCCACCTGCACACGCTCTCAGGGCCGTGCCTCGGTGGTGACGGCTCTTGGGTCTGGGGAGTGAGATCTGGTTCTCCTTCCTCCTCCTACAGCCAGAGACGCCTTCGTGGCTGTAAGGTGGAGAGGAGCTGGGCCAGTCTGTAGGTAGCTCTACCCAGCGAGGGGTTACACCTGTTCTCAGGTGGGTGGCAGCCCCTGAATCCCATCATTTTCCACCTCTCCCCCTGAATCCCATTGTTTTCATCTCAAGCTTGCTACAATTGGCAGGCTCACTGTGGATAACTTCATCTTTCTGTTACTACTTCTGGAGGCTACGTTTGGTGGAATTGTGTGGGAAGAAAGGGTGCAGGGCTGTGAGGCTGAGTCACCAGGCCAGGCTAAGCTGACTTTTTGTAAGACCCTCTTTTCTGCCTTATCTTCCCCAGGGGACTCCTTGAGCAAGGGTTATTGGTAGCAGGTCATGAGGCTTCCAGTTGGAGGCATGCTGCAGCCAGTCCCACACATATGATGTTCCCGAACTCTCTCCCCAGGGATGCATTGGAAGAAATAGAAGCTAATGTCAGTAGTTCACCAGGTCAGCTCAAGACTGGGGAGGTGGGCATTGTGGATATGGAATTAAATAATCTCCAAGTGGTCGGAATGAACTCCAAGAGGAACAGAGGACAGAAGAGGATCTAGTGATCATAGGGAATCCCTAGTTGAAATGGGTCATTGGGATCGGGCAGTGATGGATGCGTAGGGACAGACTCTGAGAAAACCCTGATGGAAATTCGTCAGCTATACCCTGCACCCTCCCACGGTTTCAATTACAGGAAGAAAGTCTTGGTCTAAGAAATTTAGAGGAATTATATACCATAGGCCAATCAAGTTAGAAGCTCCAGAAGGGCACAAACTGGGTATTCTACATCTTCTCCCATGAGGCTTAACAACGAATAATTGCACGTATCCTTGAGAGATTACAAGGTATTTTCACACACAATTATTTTCAACAACTTCTCATTGACACAATGAATGAATTATAGAATGAAACACAATTTTGCAAGTTCAAAGCAGTCAAATAATGAAGGGTCTACTGTAATAGCAGTCATACATTATCTGGCCTGGACCATCAGATCTTCCGTGACTGTGTGCCCCTCCCTTACCCTTTTTCTTTTCTTTCCACTTAGCACACCTCTCCTTGGCTTATGGGACCTTTCTTTCTTACTGATGAGGCCGAGTGAGGTGTAAAGAGCTGAAGGCTGGAAATGTCCACAATAACCAAACTGTGGAAAGAGCCAAGATGTCCATCGACAGATGAATGGATAAAGAAGATGTGGTATACGGATACAATGGAATATTATGCAGCCATCCAAAGGAATGAAATCTTGCCATTTGCAACAATGTGGATGGAACTGGAGGGTGTTATGCTGAGCGAAATAAGTCAATCAGAGAAAGACATGTATCATATGACCTCACTGATA